TGCCCTCTGAAATGAGATCCTCTATTCATGATTTCCACCCTGATGGCATTCCAAAAATTCTTAAAGACATGGCTGTTTTCACTGGCCCTGAAGTTTGGTGAATGTGTCTATGTTACCTATGTCTAGGTATTGGTATCCAGATTTGCTCTCTTTCTAGCTTTATTTTATCATATTTTATCCTGTTTTACTTATATTGTGAGCCATCCAGATTTGGTTTGAGGTTTGGCAGTACTGAAGTCAAATCAAATCAAATCAAACCATAATTTTTCCCAATAGTTTCATTTAGCTCTCACAAAGGACAGGGAAGAGAACCAAACCCAGAGAAATCTCATAATGAAGTTTCCAGAGTTGACCTCTCCTTTCCTGAGGACAATACAATTTCAATCCCATGCCCAGGCCTGAATCTTGACTGCTATGCAACTAAACAATTGATTGCTTCCAGTTACAGGATTTCTTCCTCTGTAGCTTATACCTTATGATTTTCCTCACATGCTTCTTCATTAGATAAAGGTAGACATAGGATGATAGTCATCAATCATCAAATATAAGCAGATCCAAGGCAGGTCTCTTGTAGAAGAGCAGCCCAGAGCCTCTTTCAAGCCTGCTAAACCCCTCTTTTCTCTTCTTGACTTTTTTAACTAGCCAAGAGGGGCAGGAGTCAAGGCTGCAAGTGGCAAGACTAGGACTGAAGAGAACTTCAAGTATCAAAGGCTAAAAACCTGGCAGAGCTGCATGACACCATCTTTACCATCTCAACAGAGCCTATCAATTGCCCAGCATTCAATTTAAATAAAATAAGGAAAACTGAAAGTCTATGTGGCATTGTCTGTATAGATCAAATGATTTGAATCTGTGTATACATTCTGTGTCACAAGGGACAGAAAGCAGGCTGTTAATTGGCCACTTTTCCTTTTAGTAGCAGACTAAGAAAGTCAGGGTCTCAATGGAAGAGGTGCCCTTTCAGTTTTAAATGTCCTGGTTTTTAGGGTTTAACTGCAAAAACCTGAGTGACTACTAAATGGCAGGTAGCAAAGAGATTCAGATAACCAACTCTGTTATAATCTAGCGGTTGTACGCTCAACTTAAGTTTTGCAACTAGGATATGATAGCCTTATGTTTTTAATACCAAACTAGTTGCTGGTAAAACTTCCATTATCAAACATTAATTCCTGAATAATGTTCAAACCTGGCACAAGAAACTACTGACCAAGCATGACACCTGGATTTAGCTTCTCTTAGCTCTGTCTGCTGAGTAGCTAGGGCTGAAGGACAGATGGGTGATATGAATCTTCTCTGCAAGAATTCCATCTTGCTGATCAGAAGTTCCATTTCAGTTTTCCAATTTTTAAACATTTACTACTATATGAGTGGCTAAAAAGATACAGTTGGTGTTATTGTCCTTCCACTGCACCATGTTTTCTCTTCTTGACCTATTCTGCATGATCTTTGATGACAGAATGGACAATATATCTCTTATCCTGGAGGACTTCAATATCCACCCTAACATTGCCTACTTAGGAGCAGTTTAGGATTTCATGCCTGCCATGATGATCACAGACCTAGCCTGACTGGTATCTGCAGTAGGGCACAAACTGGATTTGGCATTTAATTTCAATTCAATTTGGATTCAATGCGACCCAGTGATCTGAAAATAGAAAATTTCTTTGTAGTTCCATTGTCATGGGCAGATCATTCTCTGGTCACTTTCAGAGAATAATCTGCTATGAACCTCTGTAGTGCCTGATGAATGCACTGCAGATGTTCTCAAGCTGCTGACATGGTTGTTGATATCCTGATCAGTTTACAGAACATGGGAGAGGCCTAAGCAACTGACACAATTTCTTCTGAGTATCCCTCTGAACAACTTAACCGTTTTACACAATAGGTGAAAACAATGAGGTACATAGGTGATAGAATAGAATGCAAATAGAGAAACACTTGGAATGAATCAGACTGCAGACAGAATGGACTCCTTCTTAAGGTTCACCTGAAACCTTATTGATTTATGGTTGCAAGGATGTTAAGACTTTGCCTAAATTTTACTATGGCTGATGATCCTTGTATTGCATTGAATTTTGAGAGTTTTTCTTATGGTCAGACTATAATATATGAAAAAAATTGTGGGTTAATTTATTTAAACAATTTATGGAGCCATCAATTCCATAGTGACTTTGAATGGTGAACAAAGACTTAAAACTATCACAAAAGTAGAAACTCATGATCCCCAATAACCCCTGCAAAGTACTTGCTTAACTGCCTGGCCTAAAAACCTTATGGGAGCAGCCAGGTCTTCAAAGTCTTACAAAAAGCAATAGAGTTGGAGTGTCTGGATCTTGGGGGGGGGGAGGGGAGAAATGCTACTCCACAGTGCAGGTATAGCCAAAAAGAAGGCAATATTCCAGGTACAAACAAATGGCATTGTTTGAAGGAATCCAGACCATGCTCTCCCAGTTAGACCTGGAAGAGGTGGTAGAAACAATGGGGAATGAATGCTCCCACACATAGCTTGGTCCTATGCCATGAGAGCTTTATAGGCAGTAATCAGCACTCTAAATTGGTTTTATAAGCCTATTGGGAAACAATGCAGCTGAATGGGAGATGCCAAAAATTACATGCATTGTCATTCTGGACCAGCTGCAGCTTCCAAATACTCTTGAAGAACAAACCCATATAGAACATATTTCAGTAATCCAGGTGGACGGTACCTAAGACATGAATCACCATGAAAAGGCCTCCCGCTCCAGGCCAGGAGTGCAATTGATGCACAAGATGCATCTGTTCAAAGGCCCTTATCCATGGCTGTCACCTGCTCTTTGAAACCAAAAGAACCCCCCCCCCAATGCTCTGACTAAGATGGCAAAGAAGTAAGCAGAATAGAATACATTAGGCCGCCAGCCACCCAGCAACAGCATTCTCTTCATTAGCAACTGCAAAGAGTGACAGATTCTATCTAATTGTAAATCAGGAGTTGGCAACCTTTTAGTGTCTAGGAGCCATAATTTTTGAGGCACATTAGGACTGTGGGCAGGGCACATTGACCCTACAATTTAATGAGCTGCAGTTTCCAGCTCCAGAAGTTCTTTTATTACAAATAGGTACTAATAAAATTGCTATAATTTTTTTCAAAGCTTGTTTTAAATTTCATTTTTTTTAACAGTGTCTTACCGAAAAAGCAATTGTGGCTTACAATCTAAAGAAAGCTATGCAATAAAAATCAAATATACCACCCTATGGCTTATTATATGTGAATTCAGCAAAACAAAAGTCTTTGATATCCAACTGAATTAATGCTACTGGGATTTTTTTTTTTGTTTTGGTAGGAAAAAAAGGTTTCAGTGAATGTTACTTATAAAATTATAGCTGATTAAAAAGATAGTATTAAATGTACCTCCCTTGATCTATCTGTATATGTATATGTATGCCTACATGGTGCTTAGACTTGGACTTGTAGGATCTTAGTCTTCTCTGGTATATCTGGCCCCCAGTTTGACAAATATATATAATACTTGCAGGGGGAATCTTTAGACAACGTAACCTACTAGTTCTCCAGGAGATCAAATTCTTCACAATTGGGTACCTACATCTGCTGAAACCTTCTTGTAGTGATCACTATGCATAAGCATTTTCTGTTCAGATATCAAGTTAGTACCCAGATGTAAATGTTGAGGCTACCTGCATGATTTAGGATCCTGTTGTATGAGACTTCATCCCTTTGGCTTATACAGTAGTCTTCCTGCTTTTATTGTCTGAAGGTGTGTTAATGCAACACAGATGTTCTGAATTCCACATAAAGTTCCTGAATGATGCAGAATTAAGTTATCAAATTTTATTCTGAATATATAATGGCATATGGAAATAACTTTGGGCCATGGGGTGAAGAGATGGTGCTTGGAAACAGATAACAGATAGCGTATTCCACATCTGGACAGTGGCTGGGGCAAGAGGCTCAGAAGACGACCCTCCCTAATTTTGGGGAATACAAAGGTGATGGGGAGAATTGTACTTTCAGGCTTGGAAGATTCTGATAATGTAGTCTTACAATAGAGTGAAATTAGCTCACCTGATCATGTTTTCTGTTTGGTCCACCTGGTAAGGCTGACAGAATATGATTTTGTTTTTCATATATGAAGTTGTTTTCAGCAAGCTTGCCATCTGCTAGGTGTAATTATGATTTTAAAAAATTACAAAACAGGAACTAAAAGAGAAACACAGCAAGCATGTATGTGACTTATCTACCCTGCTGTGCTGGAGGGCTCTTCAAATCTCCTAGCAGTGGGTGGGAGGCAGTATAATGTCTATCACAAGAATTACTGAGAGCTAAATTTATACTGACACCATTTTGGCTTTGACCTCAATGAATCAAATTCACAGTTTTAACATACTTCACATCAAATAATTTTTCTAAATTTGTTTTAAGCCCCTATTTTTTGATAGATTGCCTGTTCATTAGTTTGATACGTTAATAAAATGCTGACATTAAATTTACCACACTTTGGCAACAACTACAGAAGACAGCTTTGGTTCTTTTCCTGGCCAAGCAACATTAAGCAAAAAGCTGTATATGAAATCAGAGGTGCTTCAAAGCCTCAGTTTTACAGCTTTTGAAAACCTCCAAAAGTTATTGCCAGTGAAGAGGGGGAAATATGCTATAAATTGCAATAAAGATGCCAAATGCAATTAAAAGCCACTTTAATTTTTGTCCTGATAGAGGGGCTCATTCTCAAAATGTAAGAGAGCCAGGACAAAAACTGGGCCTAATGACGTCATTCAAAGACCAAGTAAGCTGTGCAGTTTGCAATGAATAAAAGATGCCTACTTGGAAATAAATCCTACTGTGTTCCATAGGCTACGTGTGCCCGTGACCGCCTTCAAGGCGCTCAGGGTTCCAGCTAGGACAGCGCGGGTTCACAGCGAAGCTCCTTCGGCTCGCCGGGGTGCGGCCTCCGGTGGCGCAAGAGCTCCCGGCCCCGCCCTCCCGCCCCTCTTCCCACACCCGCAGCTGGAAAGGGGAGGCGTGGTGGCTCCTGCCTGCGCCTGGAGCGCTAGATTCTGGCTTCAACAAGCCGGAGATCGCCGCAAATACGAGCCGAACCACGGCGGAAGGCAGAATCGACCTCCCGGCTGAGAGCTGCTAGGGAAGCTGCTGATCCGAGGCAGGGCAGGCGGGACGGGAGGCGACCCGGGCTGCTGGCGGAAGCTGCCCACGGCAAGTCCGGGCTCTCGCTTCCATCTGGGCTCCCTCGCCCCGCAAAGCCCGCCCGGGGGTGGGCGAGGGGATGGCGGGCTGCGCGTAGGAGGGTCTGATCGGCTGCGCGGGGCCATGCGGCGCCCCGGCTGATGCTGCCTCCCTGGGGCGGCCGCCTGCTCGCCATGAAGCGGCAGAACCTCCGCACGGTCTCGCTGATCGTCTGCGTTTTCTCCTATTTGCTGGTGGGTGCCGCCGTCTTCGATGCGCTCGAATCCGAGGCCGAGATCGGCCACAAGCGCCTCCTGGAGCAGAAGCGCAGCGACCTCCGAAGGAAGTACCGCTTCTCGGCGGAAGACTACCGGGAGTTTGAGCGACTGGTCCTGCGGGCCGAGCCCGAGCCTCATAGAGCCGGCCGTCAGTGGAGGTTCGCCGGCTCGTTTTACTTTGCCATCACGGTAATCACCACCATCGGTGAGTGCGCGACTCTCGGCGCCCAGCGTCCGTTTTCCCTTTGGCCACGAGGCGGCAAGGACGACCCTCCCTTCCCCCCGCCCCATCACCACCCCTTGTCGCCCTTCCAAGAAGCCACCTGGGGGTGCGCCCGGCTCTCCTCCGCGTCTCCGGCCGTAGGGGTGGCATGGGGCGTCCTGAGGCATCCATTCTAGGCTGAACCCGAGCTTTGTGCGCAAGGTCTTAAAAGATGTGGCCGTTTAGGGGAGTTGGCATTTGCATGTAGTAAGGACATTAGTGGAGAGAGTTTACCTCCCTTCAGGTGAGCGTCTAACGCTTCTCAGTGGACCCAGTGCCCATGAAGTCAGAAGAAACTGATGACCCTAGTCACTGTGATGGGGTTTCCTGCAGCTTCTCTTATCTTCTCTTATGCCAGCCTTCCGCAAGGTCTTGCTCATCTTGGTAGCTTGGTGGTCTCAAGAGGCTTTGGGGCTTACAAGCTGAGGAATTCACAGTTGACTTCTGGACCACCAGGAATCAACTGTTGCAGCCATCAGTCAGGTGTGAGCTTTCCTCAGCTTCCCCAACAAGCCTACATTTCAAGTTTAATTTTAGCTTGAAATTAACTACAGAACGTATGAGATAACTATTATGAAAAGCATTTCTGAATATGTACAGGGTGCTTTGTCTGCTTGATCACAATCCACTTTCCACATGGAACTGGGATCATTTAAAAAAGGAAAAGGAAAAGGACTGTACTTCCAAGGCCGGCTCAAGATGTGAATACTGCTCACTGGATCAGTGCCAGTTTAGTGTACTCATACTGGTTCACAGTTTTCAAGAAAATTGGGATGCATAAGCTCTTTATCTCATGAGCTTTCAATGTGAATTATTGCCATCTCACTTCAGATCTTCTAATGATAATTTGGAACTTTTGCAATCTTATATGCTGTAATGTAACTGGCCACCCATCCCCAATTGATCTGGAAAAGTAAATTGTAAGCAAAGTTCATATTAGGACCATCCTTGCCACTTAAAAGCTGATGATCTGGTCCCTGCAGCCATTACTGCTGCCTGATCCAATCCTAAGAGGGAAAAAGGGGCACTGGAAGTAGTGACACAGCCTAGGGTTAGAAATAGCCACTCTGTGGTTCATTTATATAAAGGTGTACTGGCAGTCTTCCACATACAACCAGAATTGGGACCAGACTTTCTGTTGCTAAGCAGAAGTGAGTTGTTAAGTGAGTCATGCCTGATTTTATGACCTATTATGTGAATGACTGTAGTTATTAAGTGAATCATGAGGTTATTAAGCAAGTCTGATTTTCCAAATTGACTTGGCTTGTCAAGCCAGCTCGGAAGGTAGCAGATGGCAATCACATGACCTCAGGATGCTGCAGCGATTATAAATACATGCCACTTGCCAAGCACCCAAATTTCCTTCACATGATCATGTGGATGTTATAATAGTCATCAGTGCAAGGACCAATTATTAGCAACTTTTTCCAACACTATTGGGACTTTGAATGGTTGCTAAACCAATGGTTGTAAGTTGAGGACCACCTGTATATCCTATTCTATTTCAGGGGTTCCCAACCCCTGGTCCATGGACTGGCACTGGGCCACGGCATGCCAGCAACCGGGCTACAGAAACAAGCAAAGCCCCATCTGTGAGATGCAGGCAGCATGCGAAACTACACTCTCTTTGGTCCATAGAAAAACCTCTCTCCACGGAACCGGTCCATGGTGCCTCAAAGGTTGGGGACTGCTGTTCTATTGCATATGCAACTCTCATGGAGCATGATGCAAATTAAATCGCTTAAAGCAAGAGCAATATTCTCTCTGCTGTTATTAAGCTGGGCCTATGGATGTATTTAAGGACAGAATATATATATATATATATATATATATATATATATATATATATATATATATATATATATATATATATATTGGGGCACTTATTTCTGCCCTGTGTTTCCCCAACATTTTGGAGAACTGGTAGTGATTGTTTCTCCCAGCATCCATAGAGCAAATGGGTTTCAAATATTAAAAATTACACATTAATTGCTAATTATACTGTTTAGGATATTTTTGTTTTCCCAATTCCCACTGCCGAAATTAGTGAGTTTGAATTTTGGTTTTTAAAAAAGGGTATTTGACAATATTTGACTGAAAGAAAAAATAAGTATTTCTCCATAACCAGAATCCCCTCTTCCCACAATGATATAAATATTTGTATGATTTCCATCTATGGTGATATATTCATGTATCTTTAACTGTCTCTTCTTTGGAAAAGAATTGTTGACATCATTGTTTATATACAGGATAAGAGGACAAGAATGAATGGGAAAGAATCCATGCAAAGTTATTTCTGCCAAACCTTGCAGAAAGCAAGTTGGCATGTCTGGTTTGCATGTGACTCTATCCTAAGAGCACCTTCTCTTCCACTTACGTTTCTCAGCATCCAATTTTTGATCCCCACTTTCTTTATCTTGTCGTGCCAATGTTGTCTTTACTTCTCAGGAAACCCGGACTTGGGAATAGGGCTGCTTATAGTTTGGTTAAATAATGACATAGATAGAAGAAAAGATGGGCATTTTTCTCTGTGGAGGGATATAAGACATGGAGCACTGAGTGAGGTTTTTAATATTTGTTGGTTTTTAATATTTTCACAGATAATGTAGCGATCGGGATGGGCAGTAGATGATGCTCATTGAGGGTGGGGGGAGGGATTACACAGAGTTCTCCAAACATGTTTCCAAACTGAATGGATAAGCAGTAAAATGTAGATGTAGGTTATGATAAAATATTTATTTTATATATGCATGACTTTGACCAGCTAGGAAAAGTGCAACAGTGAGGCTAGTGTACTCAAAGAAAACATTGATCTGGCGTTTGGCAACTGTGAAAAAAAGATAATGGTGTAGCACAATTCATTAGGAAAGGGACTGAAAAGAAAAAAAAATCCATCATTTTATAATGCCTTTAAACAAATCTAAAGAGGAATGAAATTTGAAATGTTTATTTATCTGTCTACCCACTACAGCCAATAATAATAATAATAATAATAGAAAATTGGGAAAGATTTAGAAAAATAACAAGCAAAATAATAGATACTGTTAATGCTTAAAGTAAACCAGGTCTGTAAGTTTAGAGTGGAAATTCATAGTTCAGCTTTGCCAATAAGTCTACAAAAACAGGTACCTGACAAATATTTACTAGCTTTCTGTCCATACAATTTAATGCCTGGAACTAATTCACATTACACTCAATAAATGGGTGTGTACGAGCAAGCTGGAGTTGTTGCGTGTAGGCATCTTTGCTTCTAAATTTACTGGAGTAGTGGGCTTTTAGTGAACTGGCTACTCAAGAAGGGTATTGGATAGCGAAGACAAGAAAATTTTTCCAATGGTTCTCAAACTTGGCATTGAACATAACAAATTTCACTTTCCCCTCTTGAATAACTCCACTCACTAACTGTTCTTGGGGATTTTAACAGTGATCAAGTTTGGAAAAATGGAACAAAGTTGTATAATGCTGAGAACTTCCATCATGGACATCTTCAGGAGCAAATATTTTTAATTCTTGGAAAGGGTTATCAGTAATCTCTAGTTTGAACTTGGAAGCCTTGTTCTACTACTTATTATGGGTTAACACCAGGTTTTCTTCAGATATCAACATATGTTGGGCCAATAAATTAGTGCTTGTGTTTTTCTAAGGTGTCATATCATTTCATGTTTGCATTTCCTCTCATCATCCTTAAATATCTGATCCTTCAATGCATATGATGTTTCATCATCTTCTCTTTGTGTCATACTGTAAAAGGCTGTTTTGTATCCTAGAAGAATATGTAGTTCTTGAGACTGACATTACATGTCACCCACACAGAGGAAGGCAGTTACCTGATATTTGCATTAGTAAGCTAGTTCTTGAAATAGGGTGGACTGTGATTTTGTTTCTTTTTAAATTTTTAATATGAGTTTCCTCTTTTTATTTCCTTGTTTTGCTGCAGGTTATGGGCATGCAGCTCCTGGGACAGATGCTGGCAAAGTGTTTTGCATGTTCTATGCAATCCTTGGTATCCCACTCACACTGGTTATGTTCCAGAGCCTTGGGGAGCGCATGAACATTCTTGTTCGGATGGTGCTAAAAAAAATAAAGCAGTGCCTGGGAATGAGGCAGACAACAGTCTCCATGAAAAATATGGTTGTGGTTGGTTTTCTCTCATGTATGGGGACATTAGGCATTGGGGCAGCTGCCTTTTCCTATTTTGAAGGCTGGACTTTCTTCCATGCCTTTTACTATTGCTTCATAACATTGACCACCATTGGATTTGGAGATTTTGTTGCCCTGCAGAAACATGAAGCTTTGCAGAAGAAGCCCCCCTATGTAGCATTCAGCTTTATGTATATCCTAGTGGGCTTGACAGTGATTGGGGCCTTTCTTAACTTAGTAGTCTTTAGATTTTTGATCATGAACTCAGAAGATGAGCGTCGGGATGAAGAAGAGAAGGCATCTTTAAGGAGAGCCAGAAATTACATCAACTTGAAACCCAGGGAAGATAGCAGAAGTACAAATGAGATCTTGCTCCCTGTAGAAGACAGGACCAGTCAGATGAACCTCATCCCATTGATCCATGATGATGCTGAGCGACAGAGGGGCAAATCCTTGGTTTCTACTACAAAAGTCCCTTCCTTTTGTACATGCCTATGTTACAGGCCGCGGATGAGCAGAAGCCCAGATCCTCCCCATCCTGAACCCTTCAACTGTCATACAAATCTGGTTTATTATAACTCAATTTCTTACAAAATCATGGAAGTCTCCCTGGGTGGTAAGGATCACACTGGCTTGTCTTCCCCTGGCAGTACTTTGTCATCTGATAGTCCCAGTTGCCGAGGGCATTCCAGAGTCCGGAGAAAGTCTATTTGAAAGCATACATGCTCTTTTGAACTTCTTTGTTTTTGTTTTAATTTTTACTCGGGCCTGTGTCCTGCTACTGAACATGCGTTTTGATGATAAATTGTGAATTGAATTGTCAGATAGTTGTGGAGTGCCCTCCTTTCTTTCCTCTCCCCTTTTCTCTGAAGGCACATTCTGAAATGGCTATCCATGTATATTGCCTTCCTGCCAAGCTCGTGAAATCCTGCCTGAGCAATGTCCTTTGAAAACTAATGCTGAATAGTGTCCTTTGAAAACTAATGCTGAATAGTAGTTTTCCCTTCTGCATATGTCACAACGTTTGCATTAGAAGCCAAGCGTACAATGGATTTAAGTTGTAAAGCCCCACAGTGCCTTGGAGTTGCCATAACATCTGTGGAGATGTCTAATTATTCCCTTGGGGGAAATATACAGATAGTACCCAGTTGCATCAAGACAGCCTGTAGGCTCAGCTTGTCTTGGTTTTGCTGAAGAAATCTACACCCTAAAAGAAACAATGTACAGATGTCAGGTTTGTAGACTCAGCATTCTTCAATAGAGTAAAGAATGGACACAAAGCTTGGGAGCACCTTCAAGTCTAACCGACTTTAATAAGGAATAAGCTTTGGGGCATAATAAAGTTGGTTAGTGTTGGAGGAATGACTAGACTTTGTATCTGTTTTACTGTCAAAGACAAATATGCTTCTTTATACCCCTGAACCACCTTCTGCTCTTCACTTGGGAAGAAAGGATTCTTTCTAGAAGTTTATTGTAAGAATCAAACACAAACAGAGTTCATTGTCCTTCCTGATAAAAATCTTCTCCTGATTATCCAAATCATCTTAATTTCTGCAGGTTATATTCAGGCTGGGATATATTGCTGTTGTTCAAGAATTGGGAACCAAGAATCCTTATGGGCTCTAGTTCAAATTACTCAACTTTAGTAGCTAAACCAGATTTACCTTGTGACTACAGGCAGACTTCGTTTAGCGACTGCCTCATTTAGTGACTGTTCACAGTAACAACAGTGATGAAAAAGTAACTTTACAAACAATCTATTTACCATCTTTGCCAGTCTGTAAGGCAAAGGAAAGCTGAACTAAGGTCATAAGCATAGTCACATAGTCACAGTTTCATTTAGCAACCATTTCACTTAACAACAGAGTTTTGATTGTAGTTGTGATCACTAAACAAGGACTACTCATACTTGTGACCCAGCGGGGCTTCTTTGTAATAGTTATTGTGGAGAAGTTCTGCTTTCTCACCACAAATGTCTTTGTCTACAGTAGTGCTGCACATCTTTAAACATCAAACATCAAAGGTTATTTGGGGGGATGTTGATAGGGAGATTCTTCCATTCAGATTTTTTTAGATTGATGTTTTAATTGCTCTCCCATTTGGCATTCTGGATTTGAAATTCTATTCAGAGATGAAGGTGGGTGGGCTTATTTTAAGGTCAATCAGCATTCACCAAAGCCTATCTCATCTGAAAATGATGCCTCAATTAAATGTATTTATTTGCATGTATTTACAAAGGTTTTAGGCCACTGAAAACAGCCATATAACTGTCCACCAGGTATGAATGATAATCTATAGTGTAATCACTCAGACTACACATCCATGTGCATTTCACTTCATTCTGGCTATAAATTTCTATATTTAGAAACTTATTTGCATACACAGTGGTGGGAAATAAAATTGTACAGTGATATCACTTTGAGGGTTGAAAACAGTATTCAGCAGGAGTGGGAAGAAAGACTATAAAAAGGCATTGTAGCTTTTTTAAACCATAAAGAAACACACTACCATTTTATATAGCCATCTTTCACAAACAGACAGGAGCCAATTAAAGGCATTGTTCAATCTGGAAATCATGAAACAGTTGCCTTCTACAACTGTTGCATGTTTCTAGCCCTTCTTTTTGTTATTTATATTCCAAGACTTCCAGTGTTGCTAGGATCTCACAATTGCCTTTCTCTCAGCTGATAAAACTGGACAAGGCACATAAGATAATATTGTTCATTGGGCTCTCTTTTGTTTACATTTGGTCTGCAATCCTTAGTGGCCTTTGCAAGAAAGGCAAACAGCCTGTGCTAACTATCAGAACACCTCTCCTGGTTCTCTGCAAATCCCAATCAGTGTTACATTTTTTTCCCCTCATTTCCCTTCCAGCTTAGAACAAATGGAACTTTTTCCCAACCATTCCTGCTGGGAATTGCAGGGATCAAATATCTGAGGAGCAACAGATTAAGGAAGAGCAGCTAGTTGTGATTCACAACTTCTGTTATTGCCAATTTCTTCCCAAGTCCCCTTTCTGTTGAGCTTTCAATCTGGTTTGATTAATATATGCAGATATTTGCTTATAAAAAATATTATTCCCATCTCTTGGCAAAGCTAGATCTTAAAAACATATACAAAGCACTCTTCCTGTCATCTCAGAAAACCCTAAACTACATTTCCTCATTAGGCAGCATCCCCCTAGACCAGTGGTTCTCAACCTTTTTAATGCCGCGACCCCCAACCGGTCGTAAGTCGAGGACTACCCAACCGGTCATAAGTCAAGGACTACCCAACTGGTCGTAAGTCGAGGACTTTCCCTGCCCGGGAATGCCACGCGTGCGTGGTGCCACCCCCTATACTGGCCAACGCGTAGCTGGCAAGCGGCAGAGATGGCGCAGGCAGACCACCGGCTGGGCCACCAACTGGCCCAGCCCAAGGGAGGTAAGGCCCCACCGGGCCCCACGCGTGCCAGCAACCCTCCCTGCGTCCGCCGGCCTCCCACCTCCCACCCTGGTCCTCTTTTATTTACATTTTTAGTAGTTGCTCAGCAGGGAGGGGTGGAAACTTCCAGACAGCTCGCCTTCGCTGCAGACAACTTGCAGCACCATTTGCAGAATGGGACTTTTGGTGGGCTCAGTAGGGCAGAGACAGCCTGGACAATTCCTATTGGCTTTTGAAAGCCAATAGAATTAGACTCTATTCAAGAGAATCTATTCTATTGGCTTTCAAAAGCCAATAGAATAAAAGGGAGTAGCACAGCTAAGGAAAAGGGGGGAAAATGGCAGACTGCATTGTTTGACGACCCCTGTGAAATGGTCGTTTGACCCCAAATGGGGTCACAACCCACAGGTTGAGAACCACTGCCCTAGACTTTGGATTCAGGCCAATTCAGATATTCTCTGTCTCCTGCATTGATAGAATGTGTGCTGTGATTTTATGCTGACTCTTCCCCGTCTTCAGCATCTTTTCTATAATTGGGAAGGTCATTCCTGTGCAATAGAGTATTGGTTTATATTGTCTGAAACTGGAAATGTTAACTACAACACTGGGAGCGAAAAATGACACTTTTTCAGTTAGATAATTAAAATAGGCATACAGAAAAAGCAGCACTAATGTCTTAACATTGAGTTCCAGTCTTGAGTGTAATGACTAATTTGGCACAGTGGTTAATTACTTTTTAATTTAGTTTATTGTGCAGTAAATGCAGGAACTTCCACTCCTAAGGTGCCATGGGGATGCAATAGGACTTGCACATAAATACGTGGGCACAGGTTTTTCAGGCTTCCACAAGAAGCAGGCAGGCTCCTAAATTGCTTCAAACTAATTTGAATAATTATTGCAAATCAGGCTTAGGATGATGAATGAACCTAGTTATTTGTGGCTTATTCAATAGCCTATGGAGTGCTGGCTTAGTGTGACATATGAATCTTTGTTAATACTGGTACATAAATTGCTTTTCTTGAACAAAGTCCATTTGCCCATCTAGTCCAGAATAATCTAGCTGGTGATGAGGGAAATGTCCAGAGATTTTTTTAATCCATAATCTTTTTAGCTACAGTAGAGTCTTACATATATTCTTTTACATGCAAAGCAGGTATATTGCAGATGAGACATTCTTATTCCTTTCACAAGAAATATATTGCTACAGTATATTTATTGCTCGGCACTCTCCTATGGTTGCAATATAGACCTGTGAAGTGAGCTTATTTATAATATTAAGTCTCTTAGAGTATAATAACTGTTGAAAGGCATGCATGATGAGCATAACTTTTCCTTTTTAAAAAGCCCAATTTTGTTGCATATTGTATGGGAATGGTATGTGTTTCTATAAACACACATTGTCTTACTAATGAAGAAGTTGAAAGTCTTATTATGCAGTAGTTGGAAGCAGAGCATCTATGCTTGCCTGCCAATGATTTAATCTCAGGCTGTGCATCAGACACATGATTTGATTCTGGGCTTATTCTGATATTTTAGGGGGGGGGGAAATCCCCTTTTCTTGAATCAGAGATTATCTGCTTCAACTTTGGGCCTGATTTGTATCTCCTATCAATTAGCATGAGAGAAACCATAAATGGCTGCATCTTTTTCAACAGATGTATTTACTGTGAAAATCAATAAGTACATCTGAAGGAATGAAGCTGCCCAGTATATATATATAAAAAATGGATGCCAGAGTTTTAGATCAAGGCCCCTTTAATTATTTTTTTAATAACAGTAATGTTATTTTTGAAATTGGTTTAGCAACACTTACTTATTCAAATTTAGAGAGATGTTAATTTGATGGTGGGGAGGGAGAATTTATTAATCTCATTTATTGTTTAATGGGTAAAGTCACTATAGAAGCTTAAGGCAGGGAACTTGCAAATTACCAAACAAAAGGTGGTTTTGTTATTTTAACTTTTCTATGCTATAGTTACCAGGTGGTGGACAACATTAACATTATGCAGTTAATATAATAACCCACCTAAATAAATACAAAATTAACCTTATTAAAATCTAGAAAAAATGAAATTTAAATAACGTGGGTGCAGCAGCAGCACGAGACATCAAATGTCCAGGAAATGAAAAATTATTTCAATAAGTATCAATATTGAAAGTAAGTTTTATACTGATTTTAATGAATTTGTCCGGAAGATTCTGCTCAAACAATTGTTTTAATTTGGGTATGCTTTCTAAAAAGATATAAGTGCTCAGGTCCATTTTGTTACTACATATGGATGGTGCCTAAGCTTTTCCAGTGGTTCCTCATGTCTATCCAGAGGGACCAGCTTCATGAGAAAAGATATTCTGTATTCTTCCGTCAAATATTTCTGTACTTGCTCTAAGTAAAGAACTATT